ATTGAACGGCTCCATCGCCAGCTGAAAAACAGCATAAAATTGCAACAAAACCCTCGCAGAATAGAATCATTACCTCTGATACTTTTGGACATCCTATCTTCTGATGACAAAGAAGTCATCTAAGCAATTTATTGTGAACTAGTATACGATACTTACTACCTTAACATTGCCTTCGGAAACCTAGTGCTCAGATCAGCTTAATCCACCATCCTCGACACCAATATATGTTAATCGTTTACGATCTGTAATGAAATCTCCGATTCTCATTGCAGCATCAAAAACATTGTTCAGAACCTGTCCACATTCATCCATCGGTGAAATCGTGTTCTCATGTTTATCTGAGAATTGACTCTGTCAAGCCTCCTCTTCAACCACCATAAACAGGCCCTCATACTGTCATTGACCGACATGACAAAACTTTTGACATCTCTGTGCACGGTAAGAATCAAACTGTTCATGATAGTTGATCGACTCAAACGCGCATTTTTTTATCAACGATAAAATTGTTGTGCATATTACCTACCAGTAGGTCGGACGTATTGAAGAATACCATGTCAACTATTCCTAAAATTGTCACAAAACTGGAACGACATGTCAGATTCCCTCAACATTTCTATACTACCTACTACATATATAGTAATATATTCTGCTTATTCAATATTTTCATTGTGCATTTTAATTTATCATATGTTTTATTTTTGTAACTTCTTACCACCACAATTACTACTGCATAATTAAGACACAATAACACGCCGAATGAATACTAAATCAGAAGTCAAACAACAAAAATCAGCGTTATATTTACCAAATTTTCACAGGACTAGTTTCGATGGTTTTACCGAACCACCATCTTCAGCTGCAAAACCGCAAATGAACCAGATAGGAAATAATGATAAGATAAGATAAGAAAGCCTGGACAAGAATAAGCAAGTGGCGCCATCTGTTGGTGAAACCAGAACTAAAACGTAATTTCTTTAAAGGCCGAAGGCAAATTTGGATTGGAATTAGGATCGTTAACTAGAACAGAAAGATTTTTATGAATGTGAAATGCCTCTAGAAAATCCAGTTCTCCAATGGAAGATGTTTTTTGAATAATTTTGGCAGCAGAAAAAACTGAAAGTGTGGTTTTCGGACCAACAATGTTGAGCAACAGAAGACTTCTGTGTTTCCTTTTTTCTAACATATGCCTCGTGTTCCTTGAAGCGAAATTTTAAGGCTCTCTTAGTTTGGCCAATGTAAATTAAACCACACTGGCAAGGAATCCTATAAATACCCCAGGAATTCATATCCGGAATGGGGTCCTTGAGTATGGAACTCGGAATTTTATTGATGGGAGAATAAACAACCCGAAAGTTAAATTTCTGCAAAATATGTGCAACTTTATAGCTAATTGATGGAAAGAAGGGAATGACAACAGAATTTTTATAATCTCCTAAAACAGTTTATCCTTTTAGACTAAATCCTTTTAGTGTGTTGAGATGAGAATTTTTTAACTGCTTGATTAATAATGTTGGGTGGAAAGCCCCTGTCAATAGCTATTGCTTTTAAATAACTTAGTTCTTCATCAAGGGCTAGTTTGGAGGAGCAAACTTGAAGAGCACGGAAAACATAGGAATAAAATGAAGCTAACTTTTGTTTAGTCGGATGACATGATTTAAAGTGTGGTGGAAGGCAAACCGATGAAGGTTTACGGTAAACCGTAGTACTGAAGTTGGATGTGTTACGTGTGACCAGAATGTCGAGAAACGGAAGAGAATTGCAAGTCTCAAGTTCAAAAGTGAACTGAATAGCAGGATCAATAGAATTCATTGTTGAAAGAACTTTATTTAAATCATCTTTATTACCTTCAAACAGAGTAAAAGTATCGTCTACGTAGCGGAACCATGCCGGGAAGTTTAAAGTTTCAAACAATTTTGATTCATAATAATGCATGTAGATATCAGCCAGGATGGGTTAAATTCGAAAAACTTCTTTTACAATCTTCCAGTTCAAGTAGTTCAAAAAATCTTCCCATTGTAAACATCAAGCCAATAGTTAATATTTCTAATGTTAGTCTTTCAGAAGAACAAGAGAGAATTCTAAAATATAATTTTAACTTCTCACAAACCTGTAAACCCTCGATTCCAAAGATTTTAGCTCCTATCGAAAAAGCTTTCAAGTTCAGTAAAGTTTCAGATTCACAGAAAGAAATGATTAGGCATCTTATCGCTCATAATGTGAAATTCAATAATAAACCTTTGAAACCAAATCTAACTGCGAGAGAAAGAGCTACATTGCGTGAAATTCATTCTAACCCGGATATTATTATTTCAAAGGCCGACAAAGGTGGCCAGATAGTCGTCATGGATAGGAACACTTACATCGATGGTGTCACTAAACTCTTAAACGAAGGACCATATAATCCGATTCCTAAAGATCCTTCACCTTCGGACTTGTCAAAAATAAAAACTGCGATCAAATGTTCGCAAATCATTTCAGGCAACTTAAAACATTCACTTATCCCATCTGTTGCGAATTGTGCCAGATTATATGCTCTTCCCAAAATTCATAAAAGTGGTATTCCTTTCCGCCCTATTGTATCAAATTTAGGTACTGCCTCGTATCCATTAGCTAAATATTTAGTTTCTAGATTTTCAACTCTATTAGACAATAACATTTACACCATAAAAAATTTCAATAGAGTTTGTAAAAAAAAGTTAAAAACATTTCTCCTAGTAATTTACTCATGGTTTCTTTTGATGTAAAATCATTATTCACCAATGTCCCAGTGGAGGGTGCATTAAGATGTCTAGAAACCAGACTTCGCGAATTTCATTTCTTGCATCGAAATTGATGAGCTAATTTCTCTCACTCAACTCTGTTTGAAACAAACACATTTTGTTTTCCAAAATAAATATTACAAGCAAAACTGAGGGATTAGCCATGGGAAGCCCCCTCAGTCCCATCCTGGCTGATATCTACATGCATTATTATGAATCAAAATTGTTTGAAAACTTTAAACTTCCCGGCATGGTTCCGCTACGTAGACGATACTTTTACTCTGTTTTAAGGTAATAAAGATGATTTTAAATAAAGTTCTTTCAACAATGAATTCTATTGATCCTGCTATTCAGTTCACTTTTGAACTTGAGACTTGCAATTCTCTTCCGTTTCTCGACATTCTGGTCACACGTAACACATCCAACTTCAGTACTACGGTTTACCGTAAACCTTCATCGGTTTGCCTTCCACCACACTTTAAATCATGTCATCCGACTAAACAAAAGTTAGCTTCATTTTATTCCTATGTTTTCCGTGCTCTTCAAGTTTGCTCCTCCAAACTAGCCCTTGATGAAGAACTAAAGTTATTTAAAAAGCAATAGCTATTGACAGGGGCTTTTCCACCCAACATTATTAATCAAGCAGTTAAAAAATTCTCATCTCAACACACTAAAAGGCACACTCTTGTTTTAGGAGATTATAAAAATTCTGTTGTCATTCCCTTCTTTCCATCAATTAGCTATAAAGTTGCACATATTTCGCAGAAATTTAACTTTCGGGTTGTTTATTCTCCCATCAATAAAATTCCGAGTTCCATACTCAAGGACCCCATTCCGGATATGAATTCCTGGGGTATTTATAGGATTCCTTGCCAGTGTGGTTTAATTTACATTGGCCAAACTAAGAGAGCCTTAAAATTTCGCGTCAAGGAACACGAGGCATATGTTAGAAAAAAGGAAACACAGAAGTCTTCTGTTGCTCAACATTGTTGGTCCGAAAACCACACTTTCAGTTTTTCTGCTGCCAAAATTATTCAAAAAACATCTTCCATTGGAGAACTGGATTTTCTAGAGGCATTTCACATTCATAAAAATCTTTCTGTTTTAGTTAACGATCCTAATTCCAATCCAAATTTGCCTTCGGCCTTTAAAGAAATTACGTTTTAGTTCTGGTTTCACCAACAGATGGAGCCACTTGCTTATTCTTGTCCAGGCTTTCTTATCTTATCTTATCATTATTTCCTATCTGGTTCATTTGCGGTTTTGCAGCTGAAGATGGTGGTTCGGTAAAACCATCGAAACTAGTCCTATGAAAATTTGGTAAATATAACGCTGATTTTTGTTGTTTGACTTCTGATTTAGTACTACTGCATAGTTTTAGTTATATTTGCTGTATTTATTAGTCTCTCTCACTGGGGAGATATTCTGTGGTATTGCTATGGAAATAACATGCGAGGTTTTCGTTTTGAAGTACTGAGTTGCAATTTTTTTTTTTTTTTTTTTTTTTTGTGCTCTATGAGAAATTGCAGAGTATGTGGAGAGACGCAACAGTTTGCTTTTAGTCGAAGTGTTGTTATGGTCTCTATGATTAACAAAGTTTATTTTTGATTGGTTATTCACCATTAAGCTTCTACAATATTTTGCATATATATATTTTCATAAGGTTATAATGTATTTCTCCCACTTTCCTAGCGTGCCTGCGTGGTGTAGTGATTCTGCGCGCTGGGCCGGTATTCCAGAGGTCCGTGGTTAGATTCCCGGCGAAGGCGTTTGCTCATTTTTCATCTCTGGCTTAAAAAAAAAAAAAAAATCCTAATGTCTGTACAGTGGCGCCCGAACTAAAAGGTTGTTTGCTGAGGTTTCTGCACACCCAGGATTTGGCGACTGGGTCCCCTAAAAACCCCAGTCGCTCTTTAAAAAGAGGAGTATATAATGTATTTCTTCCACTTTCTTAGCAGGCTTTAGTGGTGTAGTGGTTTTGTACGTTGGGCCGGTATTCTAGAGGTCCGTGGTTCGATTCCCGGCGAAGGCGGTTGCTAATTTTTTATCCTGCCTGCTTCTAAAAATCCTGATGTCTCTATAAGGTAAAATCTTTGAAAGCAAAAATAGCAGTAATTAATCAAATAATTAAACTAACAAACAAAAAAAAAAAAATCTGTAGTTTAATTTTAAGAAAGCTTGTCAGAAAACTAAGTTAATCTAATCAGACTGAAAGAAAATATGACAAAGACAGTAAAAGGATTAATTAAATAAATTTGTGTATTTATGATTACGAGTATCGTATCTTTACAAAATGATATGCGAAAATTTCAAATATTCATAAAAATGGACGTCTTCTGTCTTTCATACCAGTACTATTTCCAGAACGCTACAGTTTCTTTGATCAGCTGCAAGACCAAAAGTGTTTAATAAATTTGCATTATCTTAATGCAAATTAATGGCCAATTGACATGAATTCAGGAACAGAAATTTTCCTTTGTGTAAATCACAGTGAAACTTCTCGAACTTAGCGCAGTGTTTAAACTTTTGGCCAGTACTCTTGGATATTGACTCCAGTACTCTTGCTAATCCATTCCAGATATTTCTGTATCTTGACATAAACACCAGGCACACCTGGTTGACCACAGTCTATGCCCCAAGATACTATACCCGCCAAGGCGTAGCTTTTATCTTTTCTGTAGCAAACCAAGGGACCGCCTCCATCACCCTAAAATAGATAAGGGCAGAAAAAAAAATATTATAGCATATCAATTATTTGTTGTAGATTTCAGTTTCAGCATCTGGAAGGTATGGAATTAAATCGGACAAAATTTCTACCTTACCTCAGTGGTTCCGAAACTTTTTTCCCGCACGAACTCTGTGTAAAAACATTTTCACAAACTATACTCTTTTTACCAGCTTTTCATTAATATGTGATTTATAGTCTTGATTTTATTAAGGAGGAAGGTAAGAAAAGAAAAGAAAGTTCGTGTTACCGATAACCAACAAAAGTAGTAATAATGAAGTTGCAGTTATGATCTGAAGGTGTTGCATTCTACCAAGTTTGTGTTCTTAGAATTTGAATTTAAAAAAAAGTATCAGTTTTATGTTGGCCTTACGCTTCAGTGTGTACCATATTTCCTAACCTTAAACTTATTATCAGTTACTGTCAAAATGAACTTTAAAGCACCATATAAGTACACTTCCCTAAAAACTTTAAAATATTTTATTAACTTAAACAATATGCTATTTTCTAAATATAAATGCATAATGTTATACATAATTTTGTAGTAACTAAGAGATTTATTTCCTTTACTTCCGGTAAACATTAATCGGTTGTAGAGAAATGACGTCATTCCTTACCGTTGATTTAGACGTGGTAAGTATAAACCGAAACAATTTTTAAAGGCTTGAAGTAATAAAATTAACAATATAATACACATTAATAAATTTTTACACAATTTGAAACAAGATTACGATGTTAATAATTATGATGTAAATAAATTAATAAGCTTTCTTTCTGAAAAAGAAGATAAGCGGAATGTTTGAATTTTGAAATCTATGCAGTGCAAGGAATCGGAATTCTTTTGTATGTTTGAATAACTGAGAAAGCAAGACTGATCTGATTTCAGTTCTATCACTTTCCTGCAGTCAAGCCATCTACGCATAAATAAAATTTATTATACGATACTTGGCAACAAATGTTGTATGGAATGATTTTATTTTATTTCTTGATTCTGCTGAGTGATTAAAAAAGGGCTGCAATTTTTTGGCGAGGCGGAAAAATTAGACAATTTACTATATGATGCTATTCGACCTGTGCGAGATATAACTTACGTTAAGATTAGGAATAGCGGAGAAGAAAGCCACCTTGAGTATTTTTTTGAGTATTTTTTACAGCTTACAGAGAGTATGAATAAATATTTTAAAATAAAAGAAATTTGTAGAATTGATTTGAATGAGACTGATATTTTAGGATGCTGATATCACTATCAATAGATATAGAAGATTTCAAATTACTTCGCTTACATAAGCAGATTAATTTTATTAGAAGTAGCTCCTTCTTTGATAACATATCTGTAATATTATTTATCCGTAACACTTATCTATAATAATATCATTTGTAGTATCTATAAGTTTGTATCTATAAGTCTTTTATGATTCGATGCAAATGATTAATAATTCCTCGTAACAATTTTAAATGTTAAAAACGGTTCCAGAATACACTTCTTTAATATTTGTTACAATATTTGCTACTGTTGCAATTCTGCTCACATTGAAGATTTCATCATAACTTATTTAGCAAATGCTATAATTTACTTATAATTTTAGCGATTGATTTCGAATGCATTATAGGAATAAATTTCTGTTTTTTTTTTTTTTTTTTTTTTTTTTTTTTTGAATTTACGGCAATACTTTTTAGTTGTTCTTATAATCTTTTTTTAAAGCAAATCTGTAAGTTTATTTAAATTTGACCGGAGACTCAAATCTTGGGGAACGAGTTGGAAGCAAAGGCGTTTTCGTGTTTTATCTCTTGTGTAACGTGAATATAAGCCAGCTCACGTTCAGAGTCCTCCATGAAGGTATTTTCTCTTAGGCCAAGAAAGCGCAGTAAGCAGTTAACCTAACCTAACTGACGGAGGATGCTGAGGGAGTAGGGTAAGAATAACGTAAGATTAGGCTATAAAACGTTTCTAACCTTAAATAAACTTATTTCCTCGAATTTCATTACAGATATATTTCACACTCAATCAATTCAATTCTCACTTCGTGGCAAGGCAAAAATACATAAAAACTCGAAACATCTTCATTTAAAAATTGTAAAATACAGAAAAAACCTAAACACGAAATACAGTTAAGAGAAGAGTTTTTACACTTAGAGTGCTTGGGCAAAAACAAGTAATTCGGCCAGCGGGTAGGGGACAAAATTTTCGGTGCACAAAATTGAAAGTTGACTTTTGGTCACATTGGGCAAAATGACACTGAAGTTGGTGCAGCAACTGACTTAATTTACTACTCTACTAAGAGTTTCGTATGTAAACAAATAGCTGTCGCTATAGACCAAGAGGCACTTAAACTTTAAACTGTAGATAATTCTACAACTACTGCATGCAGTTTAAATAAAGGCATAAAAACCTTTTTGGAACATAAGAACAACATAATTCAATCATTTTTAAAGCAAAAAATACCCAATTTATCAAATATCAGAATAAGAAAGTGAGCTTACCCAGCGTTCTACGGCTAATCGTTTTTGAGTTATGGGACATATATTCGTACAGACGAGTCTGAATCTGAAAAGTCTCTTCTGAAACTATTTTAAATCCATTTTACAATCCGTTTTGGTAAAAAGTGTCCTTTATTTGTCCCTATGTACAGATGTTACGCAAAAACATCGATAAATTGGTTTCCAGAGCCGTTGAAATGGATGCTTTCGTTGAAATATGATACCCGAAATTTTTCGCGATTACAATACTTCCTTTACTTCGTACAAAAATTAAAATTGTTTTGCAAAGCTAAATTAATCAAATATATTCAATTCTACGCGATCAGAATAACCCCTAGTTATGCTATATTTATTTAACATTTGTATTAAAAAGGGAACCGTACTGCGAAAGACAGCAAGCCATTTGAGTTAAGGTGCATTTTGTCAAAGATGAATTATGAAGAATCTTTATGTATATTTATTTGTATGTAAGTTTCTTTGTTCTTCTCATTATAGAAAAACGGAGACGATCTAGAACGCAAAATTTTGAACACACATAGAGTTCTTCACTCGAACTTGTACACCGTGAAGCCTGAAATTTGAATTTTTTATTTCATGTTTTGCGCAAGTTTAATGAAATTATTATTAACAAACTCAGCGATTAGAAAGCAATGTGTTGCCATTCGGCAAAGCGTAAGATATGTATGTTTCAATTTCAATCAAGAAACTCGGCGATTTAAAAGCAATGTGTCGCTTCTTCCCGAGATAAAATAGTTTTATCTTCCACTCCCCAGGGCTCCTTCGGCAAAGCCTAAATTATTATTTTTTCCCAGTTTAATCTATCTTTTAATGGTTAACAAACTAAAAGATTTAAAAGCAGTTCTTGATCTTTTTTGTTATTAATTGCAATCTGAAACCCTGAAATGATACTAGCTGCCCTTATCATTATACATTTTTTATAATAACTATCTTAGGCAACTGGCCGCGCTAACTGTTAATTCTTAAAATAACTGAGATAAATAAAACTTACCTTGCAGGAATCTAGCCCATACTCTCCACCTGCGCACAAAAATCCTTCATGCAACTGGAAAAATCTTCCGAGACGCGTTTTCCGAAGCATTTCCTCGCATTTGTAATCGTCGATGACTTGCAGTGCCACTTCTTTCATCACATTCGAGAAAGTTCCGCCCTCTGGATCGGAAAGGAATAAAATTAGAAATATATTTCAAAATTAATTATTGCTCTTGCATTAAAACCTCGTTATGTATGCCTCGTTAAGAAGCCCACAGTCTCAGTTTTCATCAATAAAATACTGAAATGTCTCTTTTATAGCAGTGATTATAATTACTGATCACAGTCGCCATTAGTCACTCATTATGATTATCTCTTTGCGTTCCATTAATTCGGTCATTACATTTGTAACAAACTAATACAGTCAAATACATTATAGAGAACTCGGCCCGGCATAACGAATTTTATGGAATCGAAAGCTGCTTCGCTATATCCGATCTCAAAAGAAAAAGGAATTATTTTCTAAAAACGATTGATGAATCACAAAAGTATTGATTAGCATTGTAGCATCCACCAGAAAAAAAAAGTGAATAATAACTCTAATTTTTTTAAAGATCAAATTAAGAAGTTAATTACAAGTTATTACGTGCAGTTATTACTATTATTTATAGTTGTTCTTCTTTTCCTGTTTCGTCGTACGTTAGCAGTTTTAAACGATTAATTATTTAGCATAAAAACCATTTTTCAGATTTTTTCTTCAAAATAAATATTTCCCTCTAAAATAAACTTTTCTAACTGTGAATTATTATTTTCATGACTCAATATGATTTCCTAAAATCTGTATGTCGGAGTTTACCAAGAACTGGATGTCACACCTACTTCGAATAACATGTTGTTTAGAATAGGGGACCCAAGGAGTTGATATTGGAAGGTCATGGGGGTCGATGACATGTTAAAGAGGGGCAATGATGATCTTCGACAGCCGAGTAAGCGTATAGGAAATCGAAAGGTAGCCAAACATTTTGTTCGTTATACCCAGAAGCTTGTTATATCCCATTTTCATAGGTTTGAAGGTTTGTTATGGCCATATAAAATAATATTAAATAGAGAACTCGGTTTATTATCAACCCATAGATATACCGAAGGAATTACTGCAGAACCTCTGTCGTCCGAGGTTTGTTAATCAAGCTGGCAATCAGTTTAAAGAAATCATGGAGAAAATGTAGTAATATGATAATAGAAAGGGTACAACGAAAATCAGTCACATTCGCGAATTTTATCGTGATGAATCTTTTGGCTTTTCTTATGGTTATTTTATTGAGCATTAGGATAAAAGATATGGTCTACATGTGTTAAAGATTAAAACAGTAATGGCTGACTATGAATTCGTAGGTATGCACCGAGGGATAAAAAGATGATATTTCGAAATGATAAATGTGGAAAAGAGGGAACCAAGTTTTCAGCTTTTTAGTTATAAGGTATTTCTCCCGCCTTCTTGGCATGCCTTTGTGGTGTGGTGCATGTATTCCAGAGGTCCGCGGTTCGATTCCCGGCGAAGGCGTTGCTAATTTTTCAATCTCTCTTGCTTCCAAAAAAAAAAAAAAAAAAAAAAAAAAAAAACTAATGTATCTACTGTGGCGCCCGAACTAAAAGGGTGTTGGATGATGAGTCTCCACACTCAGGATTCGGCGACTGGGTTCCCATAAAAAACCCAGTTGCCCTTTAAAAGGGAAAGTAGGTAAGATATTTCTCCCGCCTTGGCATGCCTTCGTGGTGTGGTGGTCTGCACGCTGGGTGCGTATTCAAGATGTCCGCAGTTCGATTCCCGGCGAAGGCGTTGCTAATTTTTCAATCTCTCTTGCTTCCAAAAAAACCTAATGTCTCTATAGAGTGACGAAGAAATCTTTCGCTGCATTGATCCGTGAAATAAAAAATTTGCAGTGACGCTGAGGATAAAGATGAAGCGGAAACTCACAGCATAATAAAATACAAATTTAAAAAATATTTTCATTAAATAAGCTTTAATGTAAAATGGATATGATAACTAATGCACTAAAAAGAAAAAAATATTAATTGAGCAATTTTGTACATTTTTTAAAAAAATACATTTATTTTGAAGCAAAGGAGAGAAAAAGTGTTTCTTACGGAAAAGTTGCTTTTGAGTTTGCCATCTTGACGTTAACGAATTAGTGGCATTGGTTTTTCTCATTCTATATCCAAGTAAAATGATCGTTGCAACATTGTTATTACATCCAGTTCCAAAACTTAAATATTCAAAGCGATTTCATTCTCTGAATGATGCTCAGTTACTTTTATTTATTTATTCAGTTACTCTTATTTCTTATTTGTGTTCGATGCATTTATAGATGTTGAAATTTTAAAATCATAAAAGTCAAATAGTTTAAAAATTGAGCGATTTTAAAAAATTCGTCAAAAATTCAGAAATTCAATTTGGGGACCACTTTTATCGAAAACACTTTTTTTTCTCTCTATTCCGATTTCACAAATAGTGAAATTATGATATGTTTAGTTTGTTCGTTAAACGAAGATATGTATGAAAAAATAAACCGAATGTTGAAATATTTTCTTCATCACATTGCATTATCATCTAAAAACTAAGTGCGTACAAAATTTGAATTCGATAGCTTATCAGGAAATAGTTTAAGAATCGGTGACAAAATTCCATTTACACCGTGATTGAACTAAACAAAAGCTGATTAAAATTATTTATACTGATATCTTAATTTATTTTAATTACGCAAAGCATGCAAGGGCTGTTTGCCTAATGAGAGAGATTTTTCAAGGGAAGCGGCTCGGATTCATGTTGCATATTACAAATCCCTGTGTACTCGAGGAAAAATAGAAAACTCCCATCCACCCAGTCCGTTTCCTCGGGATTTAAACTGGGATCGAACTGTCACATATACAGAATTTCGAAATGAGAACAAAAGTTATTGCAGATCATATTAAAAGTTTTGCCACCTAGACAGTGTAGTGGTTAGGGGAGCCTACTGGGGTACTAAAGGATCTGGATTCGAATCCCGAAGAAGGCCTCGTTGTAACTGTCCGTTCCTTCGTCATAGGAGGCAACGAGCGCTCCCTGTTAGGTGCTCCGCAATAGAATGGTTACCACTTCTGGCCTTAGAAATGGCCAGAAGTTGAATAGGCAAATGTCCGCTATTAGATTAAAAATATGCATATTGAAAGATTTCAGAGCATAAATTGGGGTTTGAATCCATATACACTACATTAGCAATTATATGTCACTGCGATAGAAAAGACTGTTAATTTCTCAGTTGCTCTCTGGGAAATTCCTATGAAAAACAGAAGAATTAATCATCTACAAAGCGTTCAGCCCCATTTGTCCTTACAATTACCAAGACTAACAGTACTACTTCAAGTACTGCAGCTAATTAAGTTTAGTGCTTGCATGTTTACTTCTACTGCATATCAAGTACAGCATGAAGCCTACCATATTCATGACTATATTACGACTCAAGAGGCAAGTAAGCTGCACTGAAATAGTATTTAACCAACTTTATTATGAAAATGCCACAACTTCAGATAACTTCCATCTTTTTAAGGAATAGCCAAAAGCATATTTATTAATAAAAATAATAAAAAAACAACCTGGACATTTGTTACATTGTAACAGAATGCCTACAATCTACACCCATAGCTCTAAAATCAATGATAATGTGGAATGGGAATTTGTTCCGCTGGAGGGTGATTCTATTAAGTGTTAAACGAAAACTTAAAAATAATATGTCCCAAACATAAGCTATTATTAAAGCAATTAAATACAAAGCAAATATTGTTTATTCAAATATCTGTACCGATGCTTCTGACAGCACCTTTTGCAGTTTCGAATTATTCGCAGACATTACTATTAATTCACAAGATTCAACATTTATTAGGAAACAGCAGAAGGATTCATGTCAGTACTTGTTGGATAAAAGCTCTTGCTAGATCACATGGAAGTAAGTTGGTAAAAGAGGCCGACGAAGATTACGGCGTAGAACTCAGTTCCATTCCTTGGCCCAGATCATACATTAAAAAATATCTTTTGACAATTCAATTAAAGAAATAGTAAAAAGAATGGAATATTGTGAACAGGGCAGAAGCACCTTTAATTATCTTCTAACATCGCTAAATGTTATATGATATTCGGTTGTATGATGTTTGATTTATGGACTTCATAATTGTGGGCTTTATCAATTCAAAATTTTATTTTTTTCCTTAATTTTTCCTGTAAATACGTTTCAAAGTTTTTGTATTTAAATTATGTATCATAATAAGAAAAATGGGAGAAATTTGGTTATTATTATTATTATTTAAAAACTAAATCTAGTTAATGGTGCGTATGCCGTAATACCTATTAAACACTGGTAAAGACCAGGTGCCCATCTATCGTCAACTGAACTGAACTACCAGAGTTCAGCAATTTTCCCGCTCGGCAATTAGGGTCGCTGGACCTTTTATCAAAGCTCTTTAATATTGAAAGCAAGTTTCCGGTACTTCTAAAGAACTTTTGTTAATCAAAAATCAGCATGATAGCGGGACGGCTGATAAGAGTTACCGGAATATCATAATACAGTGTAATAGTGTCTCGACCTCCTCCCAAAAAAATATCCATGTCTTTTCAAAATGCAAATTTTTGTAAACTTGGATAGAGTATGTTTATTTGAGTTTTTTCATGAATATTTTTGTCGCGAAATAAAATATTGTGTTGTTTATTTACTTATTGAAAGAAACAAAGGTTAGTCTATATTTTAGGGTGTCTCTTGTATTATCATCAAGTTGTTTCATTTGTCGCCAAATTGTCGCTTCATTTATGGTAACCTGAGTAGTTGAATGCTATGGAAACAGTATTATGACGTGATTGCCATGAATTTCACTGATGGGGAAATATTTGTAAGGGCTTATTTCTGCATTGGATGTCAGTTAGGAAGTACGTTGCTTATTTTGTGCTGTACACTGTGAAACGGCTGTAGGTGGTGAAATTAATGTGAAGTTTCTGTACGATTTGGAACGAAAGGGGAAAGCATTAACTGACTGGTGTGTAAATGAAGGTTTATGAAGTATCATTATAAGTGTCCTGTTTGTACGAAGGAAATGCGTACGGTAAAACATAAACATCGTTCAGATGCCTTTGGATGGGTTTATCCTAAGAAAAGTTCACGCAAGAAATGCCACCGACACTCCGGTACTACGGAGGACATTTCTGGCTCTTATTTTTTGTGAATTTATGTGGTGACGGCAGTATACATATTCTAGTTGAGATAATTTTAGAAAGTTTCTGGACGCTGTTAAGGAATTTTGTGTGCCACAGACTGAAGACACAGAAATTTCTAAATATGGTAAGTCGATATTTGTAGTACGTATATGCAATAACATGTATTTCCTTTTTTAATGTTATTTTATTGCGGGATTTAAAATGCAGTTTATTGAGCTTATATTGAATACAAATTTTGTTCAATTCTGGTGATGAGTAACTTTGTTTTAACATCATATCGTCATTCTCCTGATATTTTTAGTTAAATTAGATCGATGTGTACATGGACAAAGCCAAGGGAGTGCGCAATGCCGAGTTTGTGCAATTATCCGGTGTTCTTTTAAGTGGAACTAGATCGATGTGTACATGGACACCGAGTTTGTACAATTCCTTGACTTGTTATTTTGGTTTTGTGTAGTGGCCATCTTAAAATTGTGCTTTGCTGGCCAATCGCCAAAAATCACGAATTTTCGCCAAGGGTCACCCTGAAATATACTTTTACTAAAACACATTTCGTCTAGTAAGAAAAGAATTTGATTAAATGTTAATAGTCGAACTTGTGCACTTAATTTTAGATTTCATATGAACGATTTCAAAACACCTTCCCTAAAGCAAAGTTAGCATTTAGTCGAGTTTTTGACTATCGGGGACGGTTACGGTCCCAATTACTTTGGATAATGGAGGTTCTACTGTCTTTTGGTCCTATCCAATTACCTATGCCCTTGATACCTTTATATACGGCTGCAGCGAACCTCGAAACGTATTTAAACGATCTATATGTATATCTTCGATTAAAATTTTCTTTTCCATTTTACACGATTGTTTTACAACTGTAAGTTTTCAGTGAAAAATTATTAACCCTAAAAATTGTTCATATTTATGTTATATAAATAACAAAAAAAACTTTATATTACTCTTTTCTTTTTCCATCTTCACCCCCCCCCATCTTTCTCTAAGTTCTGAATGAAGGTTATGCCAGGCAAATGTAAAAGTTCTTGGAAAACCAGGACACATCATAGCCTATCTTAGGAGATCATATAATGTGAAGCTGATGATTACTCATAATTATAAATATGTATTTTAGGGGATGATATACTGTTTTATACCAAGTAATTTATTAGGTAAAGTTATTAATATATGGCAAAATTAAGGAGGCAAAACCCAAATCAATAGCCACACTTAATAACTGTAATTAACCCTTAATGTTATTCTAATTAAATATTATTAAAATGAGATTAATAATAGCATTTAATTAATTTAAATTTAAATGAAAAATAACCTTTAATCTCTTTTGATAGAAGAATAGCGGAGTTTCATAGCAATATCTGGCTGTATTTACATTGCATTCATAACATATTAGAAGAATATGTAAACTCACTGTATGCGTCTTTACCCCAACCGGTGACCACGCAATTTTGGCCGGAAAAGACCTCGTCGTATTTCGGGAGGCAGACGGTGTCTATGTGGGGAGCGAACAGAACAGGTTCCTCCAGCCGCAGGATTGCGACGTCGTTCCAGAGACTCGTATTCCTGTATTCCGGGTGCACAAGGATCTTGGATACCTTGTAGTCCTCGTGAGCGAGGAATTCTGTGGTCGTCTGCGTGTCCCATTCTCCCAGACGGACTTTGAGAGGGTATTCGTTGTATTGGCTGAAAACACACCAGGGTATGAATTCTCATGCATATCAGAACAAGTAAAATGAAGGCTATTTTGAAAGATTAAATATAACTTCAACACTTAGCTCCAGATTAAGAAATGAACTAAACGAAACGGTTTTCAGACTACACAGTTTTGGTGCTATCGTGCCATTAACAGTAAAAGTGCCAGAAACAATCATCGACTACCTAGGACAACTTTAGGGCTACCTAAACAACCTTAGGACTTAGTTGGTGGTTGCTTCGGCAGAATAATTTACTGGGTATACTAGTTTTAGCAGAAGGTTAGGCCAGCAGACATATGACAATCATTTATTTAAATTAAAAGATATTATTGCCAAGTCACCATTTGTTATATTATTGGATATTATTAAGTACTACTGCGAATGGCACATATTACTTGCCAGGGTGAAGAACACAGTTGATATCAAAATTAAATGACATCATGACTTGAATAAATAATAATAATAATAATCATTGAAGATGCCTTTTATATAAACCTGTGCAAAAATTCAGATTTCAAAAAAAAAAAAAAAAAAAAAAAAAATTATGTAGACACCAGATGATTTCTACGGCCTATTAAATTATACACATTTTTTGTTGCACTTCGTTTAAACTTATTTCCTCGAATTATTACAACTTAATTAACGGATCCATTGAGGCAAGTTAAAAATGATATCAAAAACTGCAGATTTTGAAATTAAATTACCCGTTCAATTTTCGTCGTACGGGAGTCAAACTTCTTCTATTTTTATTTTTTTATAAGAGTAAAAAATTTCCCAAATACAAAAACAGGAACCGGGAAATATTATTAAAAGTTAGATTTCGTTATTTGTCCAAAATTAAATATTTTTAAATTGAAATTGTCAAAACATGAATATTTTCGTCATTTAAAACACTTCTGTAAATAAAAGTATATCTCTACGACCAACGATTGTGAAAATAAAAGCCGGCAAAACCAGTTAAAGGGCTGAGTATATAGGTATACATGTTTGGCACTGCCGATTGCAATAAAAGACGGAAGTGCTCAACTATATATGTTACAGCAGTTCCATACACGAAATTTCATTTTTCTGCGGCTAATCGGTTTTAAGTTACCCGAGATACATGCGTACGTACATACATACAGACGTTGCGAAAAAGTCAGTTTTGAAACCATTTTAAATTCATTTTACAATCCGTTTTTGAAAAAAAGAGTGCTATATTCTATCCGTATGTACAGACGTCACGGAAAAGAAAGAAAATCGAAATGGGTTTCGAAACGGTCAAATGGATATTTCCGTTAAAATGTATAAAACCTGGAATTTTTCACGATTACAACACTTCCTTTACTTGGCACAAAAAAGTAAAAAAATACAAAAAAAAAAAAAAAAAGTATTAAAGTAAAATACAAAAAGTACTAAATATACGTATGGCAAGAAATGCATTATGACAAAAGCTATCCGTGCAAAAATGCGTATACAGCGATATACGCTAAACACGGAAAACATTAAAAACTACAAAACGTTAACATATAAATCTGCTAGAATACATTCATACCGATATGAGTGTCTAAGTATATCTGTTACTTGAACTTATATGAATAATATTTTTACATAGTAAGTAAGATGAATAAATATTGTTGGAACTTTTCATAGTACAGAGGGCACTGTTGCGCCAAAAGAATTCTGTGTTTTTAACATTATGTAACTGTGGTTAGCCATTGCGATGTATGTGTATTGCTGTGATATATTTTGGTGCTTTCATTAATATTAAAGAAAGAATCGTCATGAATTTTTTGTATCCAAATCAAGATCAAAATTACCACTGATGCAAATTCGTCGAAACAAAAATTAGCGTTCGAACAAGAATCGTCAAGTTATTACTAGCCTTTCGAACTACGCATTAGTATCGTTATTCGCTTAGTAACATGTGGTGCGTCGCGGGAAATTATCGTAATGGGGGTGAGTAATAGTTTTGTTGAAAATTGGTTGAATAGAATATTTTGTAATTGTGAAGTGGTAAAGTTATTTGATGTTGTGATTTTGTTTGGTAAAAATTACAACTTTAGGTTCGCATTTACTGAAATTTGCATTGGTATTTGAAAATAGAAAATGTTGTGCTTTCTTAGAATTAGAATTTGTTGTAATGCTTGAAGTGTGATTTGTTGTTGAAAATTACAGTTTGTTTTCTTAGAATTAGAATTTATTGTTAAATTATTTGAGGGGTAAATTTTGTTGCTAGGAACTGTGAAAAATGGCTAAATTGTTAAAGCTTCGAACTAAGCGTGACACACATCGTGAACAAACTTTAAAGTTAGTAGAAAAAATAAACATATATTGAATGAATCAGATTGAATAGATGTATGTGATTTCAATATTAGAACAGTTGAATGAAAATGAAATTTAACATACTAAATAGTGACATTGATGAATTGTTGAAAGAAAAACAAGAAATTAAGGATGAAATTAACACAGTAGATGAATAACAAAAAAAATAATACCAGTTAAAGTAAAGTTGCAAAACAAAATTAAATCAATGGAAAAAAGTTCCATATCAGTCAGGTGAACAAACAGTAAATCCAGAAAATGTTCACGTAGAAAATAAAACTTTAGGAAACAGAACTAAACTTCCTAAACTTTCGCTTCCTCGATTCTATGGTGAGCCTTCAGAATATTTTAGACTTGTTTGGAATAAGTTTGAGAAGTTTGCAATAAGTTTGAGAATTCTGTGCATAATAATTCTAAATTTAACTGAAGGTTGACAAATTTTGCTATTTAAAGTCGTTATTAGGTGGTAAAGCCTTTGGTAGCATTAAAGGATTTTCTCAATTACTCCAGAGAATTATAAACAGGCTGATAAATTAATTTCTGAAACATTTGGCCAAAGAGACATTTTAATAAATGCTCACTTGTCCAAATTTATTAAATCTGGCAACCTGTAAAAAAATGCTTCCCAACATTCAGGCTCTTCGTAAACTTTTATTTTGAAGCCCAAACTCAAATTAGATGTTTAGAGGAATTAAATGTCAAATCGGAAACATACACAACAATACTGACTAACATAATACTAAAAAATCTGCCAGGAGAATTGACTCTTGAATTTTCTAAGCAAAATATAAATAATTGTCATGATTCAGGAATTGATGAAGTTTTACACAAGCTAAAAGCCCCGTTCACAAGAGAGATTCGACCGGTAGCGAAACCGGTTCTTCCAGGTCCCGTTCAGATGGGACAAGCTTAACTGCCTGCGAATTGGAGGTAGACTGGTGAAGTTTCTACTCTCGGGGCAGGGAAATGGGGAGATTTCCCCTACTATACTGCCGGTTCACTTAATTTTAGTTACTTGCTGGATGTCAGCGAACAATCGCGCTGATAGTGTCTGGGTGATAGCTCCCCACCCCCCTCAAATTAGATAGAACTACAAGATACGGATTATGCAAATACGACAAGGTTTATCTATGCTAGTAATCCAAAAATATCGTTAAATTAAACTAAAGTTAAAACAAGTGCATATCGGCCTTAACGCCAAAAGGGATCGGTACCTTTGAATGATTTTTTTTTTAAAATTTAAGCATTTTATCTACTTAATAATATGAATCATCCATTAATAACTTATGATATATTAAATGGTTTTGTGAACAATAATTTTAAGCTGAAAAAAAGTTTTGCTAGCATTTTTTTTAATAAATTTGAAGAAAATTTACGATTAAAATGTCTTTCTTCCTACAATTTTCATGTCTCCCCCCCAGTTTTTATGTTTTATTAGAGGGTTTTAATAACTTCAAGGAATGATTTGCAATTAATGAATGTGCTGAGGAAAAAAAAAAAATACCCTTAACTAAAATCTTTAAAACAAATATGAATAGTCACTTTTCATTTCAAATAATTTTTCGAAAGTATTTGAAAATCCATCATTGTTCTATAAGTATATAATTTTATATAAGCAGTAAAAATAATAAAAAATTTAATCCATACCTGTATATGTTTTAGGAGTAAAAGGATATTGAAAAAAGGGCAAAAGTTTCTCAGTTGCATTTGCAGTTTAAAATTCAAACTGTCTAAAGACATTTAATCATTCAAATCTTAAATTTTATTATGATTTCAATCTTCACATATGTATATAAATCAAATAGTGCTATTTATTTCAATTGGAAAAAACATAAAGTACAATCCTTTTTTAAAATTATGTGGCCAAGAAAAATTGCAAAAACTATAAAACGCAAGCAGAATTTTTCTTACCGTTTTTGTGTAAAAACACGTTCAAGACAATTAAAATTAATTATTATAATTTGCGCGTGGTAGGTTTGTAATAGATGATAATAGTTCGTAAACTTGTCTTGCACTCAATCCGAGATAGCCTCAAAGTTCTTTCTCAAATCACTTCAAAGTTTGGAATAATAGGTAAATTTTTGGTGACAAAGGTTTTTAAATAGTCTTTAGTGTAACAGCTTGGAGGCCTTCAGGATGTGGTATAGAGTTATAAACAGGCTGTTAAATTAATTTCTGAAACATTTGGCCAAAGAGACATTTTAATAAATGCTCACTTGTCAAATTTATTAAATCTGGCACCTGTAAAAAATGCTTCTAACATTCAGGCCCTTCGTAACCTTTATTTTGAAGCCCAAACTCAAATTAGATGTTTAGAGGAATTAAATGTCAAATCGGAAACATACACAACAATACTGACTAACATAATACTAAAAAATCTGCCAGGAGAATTGACTCTTGAATTTTCGAAGCAAAATATAAATAATTGTCATGATTTACAGGAATTGATGAAGTTTTTACACAATGCTATTAGTGCAAGAGAAAAAGGCATTCCGTATTAATTCTAATAATGTATCTTCATATAATAATTTTCATTCTAACCAACACAACAAAAACAATTTTCGAAATCAGAAACGAAACTTTCATCCGAGTCGCAATAATCAACACGCGTCAGTAACAGAATTTATGGCGAAAACTTCCGAAGTTTGTTTATTCTGTGGTCAAGGTCACTGTAAGACTGAATGTGAGAACATGACTGTACAGCAAAAAA